TTGATATGCGTAAGATATACCATCACGACTATACATTTTGTTCGATTCAATGTCAAAGTAATATTATTATTAAAATGCATAACGTATTTGTAAGCTTTATTACAGTTTGACAAAACAAATTCAATGCACATTGAAACGCTTATTCTTCTTATTGTTCTTGTTCTAAGGTTACTTTTATCATTATACCCACCTCCTAATAATATTATTATTTTAATTTATTATTAGTTTATTATAATATGGCCACTGCATCCAGTTCATGTAACCGTCTATTATTTCTGTAAATTACCTATAATTTATAATTATACATATAGTCCACAGATAAGTATTAATAATTATGATGTATTATATCTGTTTATTATACCATTATAGAATATTATCCATCATTATTATAAGATGACCTCAACGGTCATTTACCTTACGATTTAAAATTCATTCACTACGACGTCATTAGATACCTGTATAGAATTTATACATTGAAAAAGCCAGTATATTGTGGGTGTTTTGTACGTCGTCGACACTCTCATCTTATGCTCGTGGAGGGAAGGAGCTGGCAAACTACTACTGTAGATAGGAAGTTGGTAAAATAAGATATATTATTATAGAATAATTTAATCTATATCTGTACGCAACAATAAATCATTTCGTTTAACCATGTTTCGATAAACTTAAATTGAAACTATTCAAGCGTTCAAAACTTGAACGCTTATTAGAAAAACTACTACATTAATCGATTTTTTTTTTTTTTGAAATCTACTAAATATAACTCATAATAAACTGTCTAAAATTTGTGGGCGTCTTTGAGTTGTTAAAAAAAAATGTCTTCCCATAAAACAAATAAAACTAGAAATTTAAAATGGCTATGAATAGCTAAAAACTCGTCAGAATCAGAAAAATAAATTATAACGATAACCGATACGTTTCTCTCTCCGCTCTGAATCTATAATACCGTGTTTTACGCACACAAAATTTAATTATTAGCTAATTCATAATACACTCGTACGTATATTACCATGCTAATATTATTTTATGGTTTTTTTTTTTTTAAATTTACATTTATTAAAATGCATAGGGTTCATAAATTAATAACCGTTAATACTATTTTATAGCTGTATAGACTATAGGTATTATACGTTCAGTATAACGATTTAAAATAGTATAATCAAACTAAAAAAAAAAAAAACAGTTTTCGTGTCGACCATAGTACCTAATAATAATGCATTGGATTTAATTTGTTCCGACAATTAAGTATATATTATGTAAACACACATGCCGTTTTATTATCACATCCCTATATAATATTATATTATTGTGTTAAAAAAGACGTCCTAGAATAATGGAGACGGGTGCAGCCACTGTTGTAGGTAATTTAATGTCTATAAGTAATGATATAAACAATTGCTTACGAAAAAACGATTGAGAGTGGAGATTAGTTGATAGTGATGCTTTGTCAGCAATATATGTGCCATATTATAGTGAAATATTTAAATAGGCTCTATATATTTTCTTTAATAATATTTGATGTTGTACCAATTTTCCCGATTTTCCTAGTTTTTCACATTTGCTGAGAAAACTCCCGAGAAAATTGAAAAACGATCTCTCTAAAGTACCTCTCCAGTGAAATTTTTTTTTAGGAATGCGATGTTGGCGATAATCATTAAAAGTTGGAGCAAAATTGCTGGTAGAAAATTTGTCCACAGAAAAAAATATCGTAATATTATATTTATTATGTTTCGTAAATTTTCCCGTTTTTTTTTTCATTTTTTCCCATTTGATGAGAAAACTCTTGAGAAAATCAAAAAATGACCTCTTTATCGTCGGCCTGTTTTCGTGCTTTTGTGTTAAAAAGAAAAAAGAAAAATAAGAAAATATAATGAGAGGCAGCCTTAGATATTCCGCGCGCATATTACTGAAATTATTAGTATGTTTTCTTATTTATTTTGTGTTAGGGAAAACCGTCATATTTTCCCATTTTGGAGCAGTCGGTAATTTTTCTTCAATATTAAATACTTATATAATAATATTGTTACAGTCATATATTATCATCAATGGGTTGGGAATGCCCAATAAAACCCTAAAAATGCCCTAAAAAAAAAAAAATTGTATTCTTTAAAAGTTTAAAATAATGCATTAAAAAAATTTAAAAAATGACTAAAATACAAAATTATAAATTTATTTTCATAAAAAAAATATACGCGAAACGAATTCGAAAAAACTGAATCATCCACCATTTATTTATATTTTAATATCCGTTAAAATTATCCAATTATTATTAATAGGTTATATACAAATCTTGCTGGGCTAATGTAAAAATGTTAGTATAATATTTCAAATAAATTCGGATTTTAGATTCGCAACTCTATTAGTTGCCCAATAACTCTAATATGAAAAAACAAACGATGAAAAAATAAATGATTGAAAAATCAAAAATTGTCAAACACTGTACAATCAAATTTCTCATATATAGGTACTTAATATGTACTTAATACAGTATTTTCCAATACAAGAATGTTGGTGAGGCTGGTGAGTCTTTAATACATTTTATATTCCCCATATTGAATTTTCGTATTTCCGCATTATTGAATTGGACTTTTGAATCAAATTTAATCGTTACGCTCGAAATATACTGGTGGGTATAGTTCAATATTTGTATTTTAGATTCTGAGTTGAGCTGTAGTTGTAGTTTTACAATGATGTTTATTTCATATTTTTTTATTTTTTTATTTTAAGTTGTGGACAAATTTTCTACCAGCAATTTTGCTCCGATTTACAATGATTTTCCGAAACGAAATCTAACTGGGGTGGTACTTTAGAGAGGTCATTTTTTGGTTTTCCAGTGATTTATCCCAATAAATAGGAAAAAAACATGAGAAAACCGGGAAAAAACGGGAAAATAGGTACAATATTAAACAAATATTATTAAAGAAAACATATTATAATATATATATATATATATAATTACTTGACTATAATATGACATAGATATATTTATATATTGTTGAGAAAGCAACACTATCAACCGAACTCCACTCAGAATCGTTTTTATCGTTAGCAATGGTTAATCATTGTGTACAATTATACATTAAATTTCCCCTCTACTACCTTCCCAACTTCTCACCTACAACAATGGCTGCACCTGTCCCCATTATCCTAGGACCGCTTTTTATATTTAAATATCTAAGTATTTAGTCAGCTGCATTTGTTCACAACACCATATTCCACCCACCCTTTTTCATTCATCATAGGGGCCATCATATACTCGGGGGTAGGGTTCGGCACCACTGTTTATTCATTGGAAACTATACGTGAACCGAACTTGTAATAAAGAGAACATCGCACAGCCATAAGTTTTGAGAAACAATGAAAAAAAAAAACATTGAAAATATTAATATAAAATATAAATCACTATGTAATATTATGATGAAGCTAAACGGTCCGTGACACGCCCGTTGACCTAAATACGTATATATAAAGCCGTGTAAAAAGTCCGAAACGCGAAACAAGACGATCCGTATGACGGATGGTATCTAATTGATATTCGCCCGTTCGGCGATATTTTTCCGGATAATATCACATTAGATTATAAAGGCGTGTCTTTCATTCGCGCGCAGTCTGCGGCTGTTGCGAAGTCGTCGCAAAAACCGAGGTCTCTTAATCTAATAGCTATAGTAATTACCCCATTGCAAAAATGGTACGTACATTCACTATACCATAGTGTTTAAGTTTCGCGTATCGTCTGTATGTGAGCACGTCTTTATTCCGCCATAGACAACTCCTATAAACGCCCGATTTAAGCGCGTGATGCGTTACCGTTGTGTTACACTATTACAGCATCGTTATTCGTTAAACACGCACATACATTACTAGGGGCCCATTGTAAATCAAGAATTCTCATTGGCTGTATTGCGTTTGTGATAACATTATACAATTATCAATATTCAAAGTTTTCAAATTATAAGTTTTTTTTTTTTTTAACTCTATTATTTTGATTCATTTAATAAAACGTCATAATTTATCCAATATCGTTTAAATATGAAATCGTCAAAGGTAACAGCGTTAATATTATTTTAAAATGTGATGCAAAATCTTTGGAAGACAACAATGCGTCTACTAAAAAATAAACTATTTATTTCAAAGATATCTTAATTCTGAAGTCTTAACTAAATTAATAAAATAAATTAAAACATTTAAAAAAAAAAAAAAAATACAATTTGGACATTCAGCATTTTTGGATAAGCCTTTTTTGGTTTGTTGATACACTAGGGTTTTGAAATCCACTGAGTTGACAAACAAATTTTTTTCTAAAAAATGTTTTAATTATTTTAGTTCAGATTCCTATGAAGTAACTAGTTTATTATTCATTAAATACAATATACAATAGGTACTCACGTAAATATACCCGAACATTGATGTCTTCCATGGATTTTGCATCACATCCTAAAATAATATAAACATTGCCACATTTGACAATTTCGTGTTTAAACGATTCTGGATAAGTGGTATTTTAATAATAATACAATTTCAAAAAAAAAAAAAAAAACATAATTTAATAACGTTATCACAAACGCAATAAAGCTCACGAGAGCTCAGCAATGTATGATACGGGTAACATAGACCGATGCCTCTGACTGCGTGTTATCGTGCAAGATATACAAGTGGCCCATCAGTCCGTGAACGCATTATCAGCAGCTGTCCCGTTTCATTTTGTATTATTATTATTTATTTATTTATTTTTTTTTTTTCGGCTATTTCGTTTGCTTTCGCACTCGGGTTTATCAAATCGTCATAATAACTGGGGTGACGAGAAAACAACAAGTGTCGATAACATAATATATATATATTTTACAGTATTGTTACGGCGATGATGCGCGGCGCGTGCCGCGGCAAAGAAATTATTTTGCAATTCCGCGCCGTATCGTCTGTACAACCGACCCCAAGGACAATAATTATGTCGTTTTTATTAAATGTATAAATAAATATCGCACGAAACGCTCAGTTGGCGGCGATCGGTGCAGTTTTCTCGAAACGTCGGAATCGCAATGTGATAGCATAATAATAATATACATATATATTCATTATAATGACGAAATTTACAAGGTTCGCGATCATTAATATGTATGCAACGTGCATAAAAATAACTAAATATATTATATATACATAGAGTGTATTATTATAGACGTACCCACCCGACTGTGTATCCGTATCAACGAAATCCAAGTGCGGTTCTAGTGATTTGAAATTTTTTAAAAATCCGCTCTCGAGATGTTGCCGGACGTTTGTCATATATCCGATCTTCGCGGCGAAGATTTCGGTCCAAAATCGACGCAGGTATCGTTATCGATCGGATTTTTTTTTTTTTTAACGCAATTATTTTAATGTGCAACGCGCTGTTGCACGCTTGGTCATATTGTTCGAACATATTTTGATGAAATAAAAAAATACACGGATAATTGATACTGCACTGCGGTTTTGAATTCTCAAAGACTTGAACAATCTGATACTGGTGATGTAGAAAAAGAATACAGCGAGAAACCCACATCAAATCAAGAAATCGTGGAAGCTTTTAGTGTCCTCGGCGGAGCAGCCCAGCACCGTGCAAATGAAAAAGGCTTTGAGCAGCATTGTTCTTAGGAGGCGTAACTATGCACTTACTTTAAGTAAAAAAAAAAAATAGACATCGACAGATAAATTTTTTAGATAACACATTATAAAGTAAAATACAAAATGTAATAAACGTTTTACACAATATGTTAATATTAATTTATTTATTTAAACGCCAAACGACAATAATTACAATGGAATACATAGAAATGAACAACAGTAAAATAACAATTATACGTAACATTATAAAGTTTAATATGTAAAATAGTAAATACAATGATAATGATAACGAATAAGCAGGCTTGAAAAACAAGAGGGTGTGTCAAACTCGATTGGCCATCCTAAGTAATCTGTGTATTGGCTGATTGTGGCTGCAATGAGAGGTGGAATGAGTGGGAATGAAAAAGGGAGTATGAGACCTGATATTGTGCGAAGGTACTTAAGGTACTATTACTTTATATAATATGTAATATTATGTAACAGTGCCTCGACACTTTTTTTCAGTCGTAAATTTTTTTTTTTTTTTCCATAGTTTAAACAAATTTTAACATTAACCAATGGCCTATTAGAAACAATCGGTTAATTGACCATTTCACCTTGGTCCAGTAGTGTTCGTAACAAGCGACTCCTACTCTATTATTATTTAGAAAATAAGCATTATTTTTATTCAAGCGTAACGCACGTTCCTCGGTAAAGAAAATGTGAATGAAGATGACGCTTTCCTCTTCCCTCCCCACTCTTTAATCGTTATAACCCCTGCGTGATATAAAAATCAACTGGTTGGTTTTTCACAATTATTTCAGACTTTCGGACGTTTTTCAATAATCTAACAATATTTTTTTTTCGACTTTTTACGGGAACAGCTATACGTGTATATGTAGTATGCATGCAGTAATAGTGAAACTTGAGCCACTGGTGATGAGGCCGTGTCACGTGCGATTTTGACACCGAACACTGAACAGTAATAATTATTATTGGCCGATTGACAGTTTCCTAAAACTGCAATCCATAAGTGATATAGATACGCATATAATAATATCTACTGCAAGAGAAAACAGGATCCAAGTCCGTAGTTTTTTTCTAAATGGAAGTTTTAATTGTTCTTAAGGCGAATTCAATAGTTTTTAATGTGCAATGAACGTACTTCAAAAAATGTATTAATTTAAAATTTGATGCCACATTGACCGCGGGATTTGATATCTCATTTATAGACTTATAATACTTATATTAGCGTAGAGCCGTAGCTGCAGTACAATAATTATGAAGAGATTGGAATTTAGACACGCGATACAGTTTTGGACTGGATAATAGAAATTTCGCGGTAGGTATAACAAAACTATACAAAACCCAATGTTGACTTTTCCGAGGAAATCGATTTCCCGTCAAACCATGTTTTATTAGGTATTTATCAGATTTTTTTTATTTGCGATCGAATTCTTAACAATAATATATATTATTACGTTTACTGGACTGCGTCCAACGAAATATAGTACGGCAATCTGCAAAAAGCGGAAAAATCGATAAAACCTACAGCGATGCGGACTTATATAGATGACTCGCAAAACCAATATTGTTATTAAATTACTTAAATTTTCCCCGAAAACTTTACTCTCCGGTAAAGTATTATAGTTTAAATGTTAACGTTACACCCAATAATAATAATATGCAAGTAGAATGAATAAATCGACTGCGTGTTTTTACAGTACTTATAAAACATTTTTTTTAAAAAAAATTATTTATGTGACGTTAAGCGAGTTATTAAAAAAAAAAAAAACGTACAAAACCCGCAGAGAATTATATAAATGCACACGTGTTTTTTTTTTTTTTTCTTTATGAATTATACATTTATAATAATTACTATATTAACGAAAACCGAACCTATGGATTAATAGTACATAATGTTTTGTCTCGGATCGTTCTAATGTACACCAAGTAAACGTCCCTGAGTAAAATAATATCTACATTTTTAATAATACCTATAATCTTATATTGAACAATAATATAATTAATAAAAAAAAAAAAACAACTATCATCATATATAGTTTTCTCGTTTAAAATTACGAAAACGTTGTTGTCGTACCGGGGTTTTTTTTTTGTCGCACTACATACTAATATTTCCTATATAATGTTGCATGCATTGCCGTGTTCGAATTCGTTGATGAATCCCGCCTTATGATTTTCACGTACGTCTATGTAACAAATTGATTTTCAACGAGGACGTCGAGTGAGTATAAGGTATAGGTAATATGATAATATAATTGTTGTACACTGAACGCAGGTAAGTATAGTATACTTCGATTACAAGCATCGTTTTTATGATAGAAATGAATTTACTATAATGGGTTTTTTATGTGTATTCTTCTGTCGGATTTAATGTGCGAGTACCTCTATACCTACTATAGCTACATAAATTGTACAATGATTAGCCATCATCGTTTTTATGATGCACAGATTTTGACCAAACTCTTGATTTATATACCATTATTACATCCGTGAAGACCAGTCTTCGTGATTGCATATTATCGTTAATTATTTGTTTTATTATATTTTTATTTTTTTTTTCGATCGCAATAATCGAAAATAATAATATGTAGGTGTAATCGTTTTTACATAATTTTATTACATGATTATTAAAAAAACAAAAATAATAATAAACTGAAGACAGTATTTTTATTTATTAAAAAGTACTATAGGTATCAATAAAAACCGAGAAAATTGTTAATATTTGTTTAGTTAAAAAATCAAAAATTAATATAAACACGAAAATGATCGAGAATAAACTGATTTTATAATTACATAGTAAACAACAATGTATATAGGTTGGAATATTAAAAAACCTAAAAAAAAAAAAAAAAAAAAAATTTTTTTTTTTTTTTTTTTTTTTTTTTTTTTGTGTCATTAGTTGACCGTACTTCAATTTTATCCCAATTACGTATCCAAGAAAAATATTCATAAAATATTTCTTTAAACAACTATAATTATAAGTTAATGTTCCTATGTATAATATATACATTTACATTTCCTCAAATACATAAATGCATACCTATTATCGGTTAAATTATTTTTACTGATCATATGATAGTAAAGTAATTCGTGCTATATGGGTGGGTACCCAACCTGTGCTCATCTGCATAACAATAATTTATAATAATGATCGTTATGTACACGCGAATTACTCAGAAATACACTCTCCGATATTGTGATTGTACAGTTCTTAATAATTGTTATTGTATAGATATAACCGACGAATACATTTCAAAATTGAATAACAATTTATGTAGACATAAATCGGATTTAAATTTTAATATCATAACACACAAGTATGAATGTGAATCGAGTACAAGACAATATATAGGTACTTCAGTACTTGCTAATGTTATGCGTATTTGATTTCGTAAAAATTGTCTTGTTTAAACGAAAATACATAACGTTAACCTAAACTTGTAAACAACGAAAATTATTACGCATAAAACCTTTAATCGTATGAAACTGTAAATTGAATAAATTTTTAAAAAACAAAACAAACATCGTTAATTTATTATATTGTTGCAAACTATACACTTATTATACCTACATATAATATAAATTATAATTTACTTACTTATATCAAATCTGTTCTTTTCACTTGTTACATAATAATACGCATTATTTTCTAAGTGGATACAATTTAAAATTGCAAACGGACGGTTGTACATATTTTCATTTCATTTTTAGCAACATTGTATCTAAAAAAAAACAAAAGCCCGAGGCAGACATTTTGGTCATTAAATCGTATTTGAACTGAATATCGAACATTAAAATATAGTGTACGGTTCATTAGTGGCGTGCTGAACATTTTTCATACTTGAAACAAAACAAAACAATTAGGACCCACTCAATCAGAACGTGGATTTTCATGGATGTCCTACAAATAATTACCGCAGAAACTTTATTTAGTTGTATTCACTACTTACATAATATTCGTAAGTATGTATATTAATAGTAAAATATACAAAACTAAAGGCATCTCTTATCTCTGAACTAGTCAATCTCAATCAACATTCAACATGTTTATCCAGCCACCCGCCCACCCATTTTAGTCATGAAACGATTGCCTCAACAAAACTTATTCCGGCACGACACTGGGGTTCATACTCGTCACGTATACTATCATCCCTGATTTTTTGATATTCATCTAAGTATATTATTATACAGTAAAACATCTAAATATCAGACACTCTCGGTCGCTGAAATATTGTCCGCTATTCAGAGGTGTCCGTTATTTAGAGGGATGAATTGTGTTTTTATTTGATTAATTAATCAAATAAATTTTATTTTTACATTAATTAAATACGTCTTAATAAGTAATAACATTTCATCGGCGCGATATGTCAACGACTGGACAAATAATATAAGATACACGTCATCATAATGTACGTACGTAGTAATAAAATATAACTTAATAGTGTAGACTTTTATTTAGGTATTTTACAATCATTCTTAATTTACGATAAAAATTATCAAAATCACTGATAAAAAGTGTCCGTTATTTAGAGTGTCCTGTATTTAGAGGTTTTCCTATTTATATATAATAGAGAAAATGTCTCCGTTCCCGAAAAAACGTCTGCTATTTGGAAGTGTCCGCTATTTGGAGGTATCCGTTAAGGGAGGTTTCACTGTATTATAAAACATCGAAAAGACTAAAATAATATTATAAATAAATATATGACTTTTCCACAATGATTCGATGACAAAAAACATAAAACTATAACGTTATACTTACATTTAGCTGTCTACGGTTGTATTTTATAAAAGTAAAATTATTTATTTATTTAAAATCTACGTCACGAGATACGCATATTAATTAACAACCGAGTTTTCCCCTGTAATTTTGGCCACTGTCCAGTGACCTTAATAAAATAATGGTGACCGACATATTATTATTAATACTGTCGTTTCGAGAGTCTTCTACAGACTAAAGCTTAATAACAGAAAAACATAAAAAAAAATGCATATATAATTAGGTGTACAAGTATATTATAATCATAACAATGTCCAAAATTTGACTATTACATAATCTGTCGTAAAAAAAACCGGCGAATAATCTCTACTTAAGTGTTGTAT